ATGTTAAACTTATATTAAAGTTTTTCTTCATTACCCATTTAAGCCGTCTCCAGCCATTATTAGTCTCAAAGTGGGTTCCTCGTCATCGAATATATTTCATCTGTAGATACATTAGGAATAAGATGATAAAGATCACGCCATCATGTGCTGCCATTTATTTATGCCAAATTTTCAGGTTCATGAAATAATCTTGACTAACCATCTTTTACAGCAGGAAGTAACAACTAAACCTTAAAATGTTTTGTCAGCTTTCTTATTTTACAAATTTATAAATTATTTCACCAAAGAAAGTTTTTAACGTACTATGAGTCATTTAATGTCCAAAACAAACAGTATTCAGAACTGACATATCCTAGCTGGTTACTAATTTTTACCGACAAATAACCGAAACAAAGCAAACTGACAGATCAACGAAAGATAAAATTAAAAGCATCTTTTGGACTGAGCTGAACTTTATAAATGTCGACCAAATGTTATTTATAAACGAAGGGAACTGATCAAAGGGAATGCCACGGTGTTTTTAATGTCTTTTATGGGTAGTAATTCTTTAGGCCTGTTCAATCGAGAACACCGAGTTGAGACCAAGAAATATTTCAAGATTCTTACAATATTATATCAGTAATATCTTAACAAACAATTATGATAAACTTATTTGTCACATTATTGCCTTCTATTCTCTGCACTTATATACTATGGTTGAGTCTCAGATTATATTAAAACAACCCACGAAGTTTCCAAAAACAAATTTCTGTAAAAGTATGACTTATCGACTATATATGTGTGTATGTGGTGGAGTCCAACTCTGCACATACTATTTTTACACACTGATACTGTCATGCTGAAGTTTGTCTTCTTGTTTTCGTTGACTGTCAGCTTTAGTTGAGCTGTGAATAAAACTAATATTAAATTTAACCACTGACCAGATATGAAAACGAAGTGCCTGGTGGTGTGAAAATGCTTCTCTCTTTTTGACCAATAACATCGAAATGCCGTGGTATTCATACATTAAGTATGATCCTGTTGGAATCAGTCACATCATTTCAACTCTGTCTAAATCCACTTGAGTAAACATAAACTGTTGTTGTTAAGATTATCACTTACAAAACAGGAAAGACATGTTGTAACCTTGTCTCTTAAATAACACCGAGGGATATAAATATCACTTCAAAATGTTTCACTCACTTAACAATGACAAACACCAAGAGATTTATTCTCTTCAGTTTAAAAAAATGAAAAAACACGACTTTTTTTTCCCCACAGGTGTCAGCTTTGTTTAAGGAAGCAGGGAAGGCCTTGGCAACTATGCCATTATTACTATTTCAACCAGTTGTGGTATGAAAAATTTCGAGTGAAAATTCTTGCATGAAAATTAATTAATCTATATATTTTGTGTCTTTTTTGTAAAAGTACGCATAACCTCTTTATTACTTATATAGAGTAAAGGCGTCATATATTCTATTTTTTCACTGTTTTTGGAAAACGCCTATGTATTGAAGTCACATTTTTCTTAATATTTTTAATCATATTTCACATATTTTAATAGCCTTTTTTTTTAGTTAACATCAGTTAGTTTCTTGGACGTGAAGTTCGTGGTTGAATGAACATGAGATTAGATTTTTGAGACTGTCATTGGAGATAGAATGGTTGCTTTTCTTTCGCTGGGTGTTCGGATATGAGAAGCATGCCCAAACGTTTAGAAGTTCTGATTAGTCGTGATTGAGACTCTCATGAGTTTACAGGCACGTATTTTCAATTAGTGCATTGTATTTTGCCTATATATGTGTGGCCATACAATCACCACAAATAGACTGTAGACGACCCATGAACGTAAAGTATTTGTTTGTTTGTTATGAAGCGCAGAGTTTTACATTGGGCTGTCTGCACTTTGGCCACTGCGGGTATCGAAACCAGATTTTTAGCGTTATAAGCTCTCAGAATTATCGCAGAGTCACCGGGAGGTTAACCTTAAAACAGCAGGCAGAAGACCCTTAATTCGAAACATACTCTGATTCCGAAAGGAAGATTTGATGGCCATTCATAGCTTAAATACTGGACATAAGAAAAAATAATTTAATTTCTTAATTAGAATCTGATGAGACTAATTTACTTGCCTAAGAAAAGGTGGATGAGAATTAATGGAAATTTGTGGTAGTGTATGATTTTTCTGAAAAGGTAAAATTAAATTCTCAGGAAGTTCTATGTAAGAAAAAGAAGATGAGAATTAACGAAATGTAAAACGTGGACAGCGTGTGGACTAATCGTTTGGAGTTCGACTTAAATCCAGTTAACAAAATATTTATATAAAACCAAGGTTTACAGTTGCGAGCGGAGTACACAAGTTACGAATTCGAGGAAGTTTACAGTTAGAATACAGGATTGACTGGGAGACTGAGATTCAAAACACAAACAACACTTTAATTCAATATATCAAGATATTCGGCTACATCGAGATTACCGAAGGTATCTTGAAACGTCTCACTGTTAAAACTATTACATTCTTCAATCTGAGCAGGTAACTGTACTTCCATTAAAACTTTCTGTAATATCCATTAATTTACTTAATACTATCAGTAAGTTATCAATTAACACATTAATTGAAAACTGCTCAGATGTAGCTTTCGTTAATTCTTTGATATCAAATACTGTATATTCAATTTCTAACCACATTATTGGACTCTGAAAGAGATAGCAATAGTTACATACATGGAGCTTGAATGGGAAATGCTAGTTATCTTCAACGTTGAAATGGGCTCGGACATAGTTGGATCAGGCAGCATCAGTTTTCTTCAACCAGCAGGAGGTTGTTTGGCTTCTTCATACGAGTGAGGAGATTGACTTTTAACTCCAAAACATGGGTTTTATACGGATTTCTCTAGTATTCTTACGATTCTACAAATAATGTATATATCCAATTCGCTAGTAGATTTGACACTTAATTGGATAAATTTTGTTGACTCATCGTAATTCTCGGAACTAAAACCAAAACTAATCCACTAATTGGTTATGATCAAAAACAGTAAATTTTCAGCCTGTTTGCATGTATTTCTCCTCATCCTCTTCAGGTCAAAGTTCTGCTCAGAGTCTCTGAGTTTTTTGTGTCCAGTCTCTAATGAAGTTCATATAAACTTTATCATAGCTTTCTTTCTGCTGCTGTGGCGTCGGTCAATAGATAATGTAAACAGTTGATTCTCAATACCACCTGGAATGCATTTTAGTTTATAGTTGACATATACATTTCTTTTCTTGGTCAAGCATCATTGTGTAACTCCTCGTATGTATTCATTAGATGTGCCCAACTTTTTCTTCATATTGCATATATGTATATCATCCATGGACTTTTATGAAATTATATTTCTCATTTCTTGAAGCATTTGAAAATAGCTTCAAAATGCTTCAGAAAAATTTGAGACAGTGTACGGTTTTCTAGCGGGCTAAAATCAGTTAACAAGAAGTTGTATGTAAGAAAAGGAGGTGGAGGAGAATTAAAAGAAAGTTTGAGACAGTGTACGGTTTTCTAGCGGGCTAAAATCAGTTAACAAGAAGTTGTATGTAAGAAAAGGAGGAGGAGAATTAAAAGAAAGTTTGAGACAGTGTACGGTTTTCTAGAGGGCTAAAATCAGTTAACAAGAAGTTGTATGTAAGAAAAGGAGGAGGAGGAGAATTAAAAGAAAGTTTGAGACAGTGTACGGTTTTCTAGAGGGCGAATTTTACTTATCAGAATGCCATATTAAAGGTAAACATTTTTCTTTCAAGTTGTTTTTTTAGTAAGAAGGTAATTTTGGAATAAACGGAAAAACAGCTAAAACAAATGTTTTAAGTTCTGTTTAGGAGTTTAACACAAGATTACATTTGAAAGACTAAAACAGTACGCTAATTAAAAATACGCACTTGTGAACACACGCGTACCTCGAGTAACATACCAACCAGATGCGAAATCTTAGAGATTCTCCTATTATATACAGGAAAAAAAAAACAACAACAAACAATTATTCTATTTTTATTGATAATTTAAAAGTTTTAGTTTCGGTTCATTCAACCACCAAATTACTTATAAAAACTTGTATATTTTTGTGCTACTTTAATTTAAAAACAGTCTATCTATTTATATTTATATATTTATTAAAACACAACAATACGAGAACTCTCTTGTCTTATATCTAAACATCCAAAGCGATTCGCTTTGGCGTTTAATGTCTGGCCTAAACATTCGAGGATATGATGAAGAAGATAAGAAACGGAGCTCAAGTAATGTCGTGTTTTACTATTTGTATCCACATGTTGAAGCTTGTATGTGTTTTTGCTATATATATTTATTTACGTATTTAACTAACTAAGTAATTATAAGACACAGTTAATCTTGTTCTAAAAGAGAATGATCAATTTCAACTACTTACTTCTTTGAAAGCTAAGTATTTTACATCATACGACGCTAAATATTACAAGTACACTATCCTGTGTGAGCTTACTATATTGTTGCATGATGTGTTTTATAACAGTGTATATTATGTTGAGGAAAACTGACGAATTTTCCATCTAGAAAAGATATGTTTATAATATTTTGTAGTTTTTTTTTCTCACTTTTTTCAGGTGTTTTACTTGCTTATTCATTACATTTTTGTTTTCTTACTCAGGGTAAAATAATTCTTATTTCACACAAAGAAGTTTAACCATTTATAGTAAGGTATATTTTTAACTTTGGAATTAAAGGAGCTTACTTTAACATATTTAAATGATAATTTCGAGTGACTTAACACTCACTGCTTAAGTAAAAGAAATGGGAGTTGAAAGTTTTGCGATTGGAGTAAAAATATACTTAATTTGGTTTCCCTTTTCTTAGTTATTTGTGAAACTTCTTACAGACTTTCATTACATTAGCCGCAATAGTTGTAGGCTGGTTTGTGGGCTATCTGTACATTCACACAGCAAAAGATGTCACAGTCGACCCCGAAACTGATTACGTTACGTTCCACCTTACTACTTTCTTCAGGGTAAGTACAAATATCCTGGTTTTGATATATATATTTGTACAAATAACTTATATTAATCCATCCTGATTACACCCGCACTCTCCTTCACTAAGAAAGTTTGATGTTTATACTCATTAAGAATTTATATGAATTATTTTCTTCACAAATAGTTTAAATACCTCATCTCTTTGAAATATGAAAAGCCAAAAAATTATATTTAACAAAATTAATTCGGATTTGTCGAAATATTTATGACTGATCAGGATTTTAAACCTAAGTCAATAAGTAACACGAGTAAAATAGAAAACACATGTGTTAATATACCAGTGGTTAACCACACTATTTAAGAACGATGTTCCTTGGAACTACTTCCTCCATGGTTGATTGTGATCATACGCAATGATTACGTAGTATTGCTCTACTCTGTATATTCCTGTTGCGATGGACAATGAAGCTATTCTTAGATCACACACTTTTACAAGTTTTCCTCTACTGAATGCAGACATCGGCTTTTAAAGCCACACCGGCTTAAGCAGACCAAAAGGCTCGAAAGTCTGTTGAAATTGCACTGGAATAACTGATAAGTATGTGTTAGAGTGGGAGCACTGGGATAACTGATAAGTATGTGTTAGAGTGGGAGCACTGGAATAACTGATAAGTATGTGTTAGAGTGGGATTACTGGAATAACTGACAAGTATGTGTTAGAGTGGGAGCACTGGAATAACTGATAAGTATGTGTTAGAGTGGGAGCACTGGGATAACTGATAAGTATGTGTTAGAGTTGGAGCACTGGAATAACTGATAAGTATGTGTTAGAGTGGGAGCACTGGGATAACT